CTCTACATACAGGTAAGAGAACTATGATCAGGTATAAGGCTAAACAGGTTACTTAATCTCCAGTATTTAGTAAAATATTTGGAAAACTGTCTAACAGTATTGTCAATTTTTGTAGTTTAAAAAGTGGTAGCACCATCATCAAAACTCAGAAGTTTTTGACAGTTTAAGTGATGCTGTTCTGGATACATGCTTGATCTGACCATTTTTCTATCTATTCACACAGATTTCCAAACATGGGAAATCTTCCCCAAGGGACAGTAATACTTCATTAACTTTGTCTATTATTTGTACAAATACCTGTGAGTTTGTACAGCTACTGACTGGAATCTTCTGGCTGGATTCTGTGACATGGCCAGTGAGATGGAGAAGTAGCACTACACAATTCTTCCCACAGTGCTAATAATTCTACTCCTTTAAATACGCATTAAAAACAACTGATATCAGATGGGAACAGCAAGCAGAAAAAGAGAAGAAAAAGAAACCTGACCTAGGGAATTTCTGGGCTTTTTCTGCTGCCAGTTTAAGATTGTGATCTTCTAACCATTAAGAAAACTATCAGTACCTAAAGAATTTAGGGAATTTTATGGAAATAAAATGGAGGGAATTAAAGAAAAATGACACTGCTAAATATTCAGTGGAAAACTATGCCCGTGTACCAGACAGAAAAAGAGTAAGCAGTTTCCTGATTAAGCTTACTGAAAACAATACTCACTAACTAACTACTTTCAGCTGAGTATGAACATTTGCTATGATGTAATCTACCAATTAGAATTCCAAGGACAGTGCTTTGCAGATTAATAATGAGCTATCACTAACAGAAGTACAGAACCCAAGAGGAGAGAGGCTTTCAAACCTCCTTCAGGTCTGGCTTCCTCTGCTTGGCAACAACAAGGGCAGGAAGTGGGCATGAACTTTGACACGGGTTTTACTTTTTAGGGAAGGATGTTTATCCAGGTGCCTGCAGTGTATCCCGACATCAGAAGTGACCTACTGCCCTTTCTGAGCATAACCTTCAGGAATAAATTATTTTTCATCTGTTGGCCCTTAAGTAGCTCAAGTATGTTCCATAATTACTAAACATAGGCTGAAACAACCTGTTCCACAAATCTTCAAAATGTTTTATGGCTTGCACTAAACTTGTTCACTGCCTTTATGACTGGAGACTTAATCCATACTACAGTGCCTTATGGATACTGCTACCTAAGTCAAGGAGATTACTTAAATACATAGTATGAAGAAACTGTACCAGAAAAAGAAAGAATTTCAAAAATAGGAGAAAAACACCCACTGTTCACCTGGACCATCATACAGCTACAGCAACCACATCAGTCGTTGCCAGGCCTCTAGCAGGTGCTGGCTAAGGAGAAAACTAATTCCATGGAATTAAAGTTTTCTATAAAAGAGCCAAAATCAAGCTCAGAAATGCTGTGCAACCAGGTGCTTAGACTTCCTAAAGAACACAAACATATGCTATAATTTGACATATTTTAAAAGCCTATGTATAGGCCTTATGGATCTCTTCAGCACTTCTCATTTTAGCGTCCTCCAATAAAAAAAAAGGGAAGTGGGCAAAACTTTAGGAAAATATCTCATGCGGTTTTCACTTAAAACATGTAAAAATAACTCTTCAATGCAATCTTGCTCCAAATATTATTCATTTTATGACAAAACAAATCAATACAGAGTCTTGAGGGAGGTTAAAAATACAGGGACAAAATAAAGCTAAAAATCAAAAAGCTATCTAAAATCACACAAAATAAGACCAAATTATGACATAACATTTAAGAATATAGAATTTACTGTTATGAAATGCAACACAGATAATTAGTTCATCAATGAGTTATCGTGTGTTCAAAATAGGGTTGTTCAGAATCAACAAAACAAGATCATGTTGGAAGCAACTGTAAGAAAATTTAGTGGACATGAAAATATAGATGCATAAAGAGATGTAATTAAATGTGTAAAATTCTCTCTCAACAGATGAAGATAAGAAAATGCCTATTTTCTCATTTAAATCAGAAGCCTCTCCATTAGCAAACAGAAAAATAGAACAGTTGCTTCTTTACACTCCACAAATAAATGGCTCACACAGTGTCTGCCACCTTTCTAACATGTTAGTTATCAAAACAGATTGACTTACAGAGGACAGCCACAGCTCCGGACTCAAACATGAGACATTCCTCTCTGTTCCTGGTTTCCACAATCACACTGAAGGGAAGCGGATCCAGCTTGTGATAGACACGGAATCCTTTACTGAAAGCCATTTTGCCTCAAACACAGGCAGCCCTGTCCAATACAAGATGATGTTAATGAAACCTCCCTGTGCTTCCAGACATCTCCCACAAAGCAGGTTTGACTCATGTCCTTTCCTAGAGATTTTAAGTGTTCAACAAAAACGAACAACAAAACCCCCTGCTCCCTCATTCTACCTCACGAGACTTAGTTTATCTATGTTCCAAAACAACTACAGGGATTACCTAAAGATGATATAAGAGTGCTTCAAAACCAGAACAAGCCAGAGAAACACCTTTCAAAATATGTATTTATTTAAAAGCTTCTTTGAGACAACTAGAATTTTACAGAATCCCAGACTGGTTTGTGTTGGAAGGGACCTTAAAGTTCATCCAGTTCCACCCCCTGCCGTGGACATTCCAATATCCTAGGCTCCAAACCCCGTCCAATCTGGCCTTGGACACTTCCAGGGATCCAGGGGCAGCCACAGCTTCTCTGGGCACTCTGTGCCAGGGCCTCACCACCCTCACAGGGAAAACATCTAAATCTAATCCTATTCTCTTTTAGTTTAAAGCAATTTCTTTCCCAGTACTTAATAAACTAGATTTCTTCTTAGGGAAATAAAAAACGAAAAGGTTTTCCAGCTACCACCAATATGGGAGAGTAGCAATCACCTTAATGGTAAACTAGTGCCAAAAGCAGAGGGACAGCCTTCAATTTTTAGATCTATTTTACTGATTCTACCTTGTACAAAAGGATTGTAAACACTGAAGCCGTCAAGACATTTTAAAGGATGGTACAAAAATGTCAGCTTATTTTCGGCTCTTTTTCCCTCCCCTTTTTTTTTAACAAAAGCAGGGTTTGATTTTGATTTAAACCCTGCCCTGCGGCGGCTGAAACATCGCAGTGTCGTACTGGTGACGCTGCCCGCCAGCCACACACGAGCGAGATCTTAAAAAGCCCCACAGAACTCTCACACTGCAGCAAACCATAAACAAACGCGAGAGCAGCCAAATTTTCCCTGCTAAGGCTCGGGAAAATGCAGGGAAGGAGGACTGCTCCGGAGCGGGGCTTTCCGCCCTCCCTTCCCGGCAGCTCCCTGACCTCCGGAGCGGATACGCACTGCCCTCTCCGGCCTCTCCCCGAGCCCTCCGCGGCCGGGCTGGCTCAGGGCACGGCCAAGCCGTGGGGCTCCCACCGCCGGGCCGCCACATTCCCGGCACAGCGGGACACGCCTGGAAGTGCCCGCCCCATCTCGTCTGGAGCCCGAGCCTCTACCGGCCACCCCGGAGCCCAGGCCCGGCCCCGCGGTAGCGCCCCGCTCACCGTCCGTCCGCCCCGCCCGGTGCCGCGGAGCCGGCGGGATCCACCGGGATCCGCTTCCTCCCGGCCCCGCGTCCTTCCGCACTGCGCCGCCCGCCCCGGAAGGGAGGGGAATGGGGGGGGGAACAGGTGCCGGGGCCGCGGTGGGGCGGAGCTGTACTTTAAACAAACCGAGCCGTGTGTGGAAGACAGCCAGTCTCAAATCCCGCTGCGGGATTATGACGAGGAGCGAAACCCAAGGAACAAGCTCAGGAACAGCCGTGCGGACTGAGCGACCTCTGAGTCACCACGCTGGGCAAAGGGCTGCGATACAGCGCCTCGGATCGGGTGGGAGCCGGCTGAAGCCGGCATCTTTCCGATGGCAGTCACGGAATAGAACCGTGGAATATCCCGAGTTGGAAAGGACCCACAACCTCGGGTCCAGCCACAATCGGATCCAACCTCTGTCCCTGCACAAACACCCCAACAGTCCCAGCCTGTGCATCCGTGGCAGCGCTGTCCTAACGCTGCTGGAGCTCTGGCAGCCTCGGGGCCGTGCCCATTTCCTGGGGAGCCTGGGCAGTGCCAGCACCCTCTGGGGGAAGAGCCTTTCCTGATACTCAGCCTAACCCTCCTTTGACAGAGCTCCAGCAGTTCCCTCGGGTCCTATCACTGGTCAAAGAAAGTAAAGATCAGAGCTGCGTGTGGGGAGGAAGCTGCAGACCCCTGAAGAATTATCAGCTCAATCTCTTCCGCAGCTGAACAAGCCCTGTACCCTCAGCCACTCGTGAGGCTCAACATGGTCTTAGTGACGAGTGCTCAGCTTCGGAGGCAGACTCCACGAGCCAAGGGGATTTATCCCGTTCGGCACAGCTGCCGCTGGCACAGCAGGAACAGAGAGGCCAAAGGCGAGCGAGCCCCGCGTTCTGCGCTGCTCGGGCGGACACGGAGGTGGGCAGGGCGGAACTGCAGCCCCAGGTGCGGCAGCTGTCCTGGGGCCCTGCCCCTGTGGGTACGGCCCGCAGCTCCCGCTCCATCGTCCCCACAGCCCCCGCGCTCCCTGCCCCTGCTGTTTTCTGGGGTTTTTTTCCCCAGCTGGGTTTTTTTACCTTGGTCCTGCCCAGTCTGCAAGGCAATGCTCATCCCCAAGGGCTGGGTGCAGACCGTGCTGGGCCCGGGGTTTTGTCAGGCAGGAGGGGGTTTTTTTTGAGACTCCTGGGAACTACGTTCCCAGAGACTGCTGCAAATCTGCGCTGATGCCCCTCCGATGAGAGGACCCCGCTCCCACCCCTCGCGCAGCAGCACCTGTCACTCACCCTAAGCCCCGGCCACCCACCCCTCACGCGAACCTTGCCCCGGCACCGCCCCCCGTGCGTCATCATTTACGTCACGCGACCACGCCCCTCCGGCGATATAAAACGGCGTCGCTGGTGCTGTTTGGGCCCTTATAGCAGTAGAAAGTAGGGGCGGAGGTGTTTACAGCGTTCAGAGGAGGACAACGCCGGAAGAAAAAGGGTAGGGACCACATCCAGGGGGGGCAGCGCAGCACAAAGAAGGGGTTGCTAAGCGGGTGGGCTCGAGGGTGTCACAGGCTGAGGAACAGAGAGGAGTAAAGGCTGTAGGACTAGAGAGCACACAGTGAAAATAAGGGGTACAGCTTAGGATATAAGATAGAGGTGCACCAGCTCTCACCTCTCCCCTAGCGCTTACCTTAAACACCCCACGAGTAACTAAGAGGCAGATGGATATCTTGAACAGCAAAGCAGGTGCTCGAGGGTGACACACACGGCAGGGGCCAGAAACAGGAAAATAGAGGCTGAGAGCTGAGGAATAAACAGGGGGGCTTGACAATGGCACAGAGAGGCTGAGGGAGGGCTAGAGACAAACAGTGAAAATAAGGGGTACAGGTTGGGATATAAGGTAGAGTACAGGTGTACCAGACCCCTAACCCAAACCCTAAATAGGAGCCCTAACAGCACCCCTGTTTCCCTGAGAGCAGCTGCAGGCAGGAACCCTAAAGCAGCAGAGTGCCAGAACCCCTGAGAGATGCAGGCAGTACCCCTCATGCTAGGGCCAGCCAGGAAACAATAATGGGGGGACAGATCCACAGGGTTGGGGATAACTGCAGCTTTCCCAGCCCACCCTGGGCTCTCTGTCCCTCTGCAGCCAGGGATTGCTCCCACTCCTCCTTGAGGCCTCGTTTGGTAAGGCCCGGCCACCGCGAAGAGTTCGGCTCTGCAAGCATAAGTCTACCAGCAGGGCTGAAGCGTTTGGCCCAAGGACCCAGGCAGTCTCAGGAGACAGTGAGTAGAAGAGTTGTCGAGTTTTGACCAATGTGCCACGGAGCTCACACAATGATGTTTGGTTTTCTTTCTTGTAGCTGACCAAGAGACAACATCCTGGTGACGGCAGGCACTCACTGGACGGTGAGGCGGCCTTCCCTCATGCCCCATGTGGATTCTCACCCCCGGGCATCTGAGAGCTAAGTCAAAGGCTGCAACCCACAGAGGGGATGAGAGCGGGGTGCTGGGTCTGGGACTCATGGCCAGGGATTTTTGAGTCAGCTTTGGAGATGGGGCAGTCCCAGCTGTGGCCCCTTAGGCCACGTCAAGGGAATGTTGCATTACTGGGAACGGTGAGAAGCATGACACAGACTCTCTTGTGAGTTGAATAGGAGAGTGAGGTTTTTTACCTCAGATCTTCTTTTATAGACTGACATGCAAAAGTACAGAAAGGTAAAATTCTTATTGGTCAGTGAACTAACACATTACTATCATTGGTTAGTGGGGTACACTACTGTTTGACTTTCTTTTGTAAGAAAACAAGAAACTGACAGCACCTGCAAGGCTGTCTTCTGTCTTTAAGGATTGTTTTAATTCTTCTTTATGATTTCTCAGGCCACTTTCTCAGGCAAGACTGAGAAAGTTATGCAGCCTGCTTTTCCACAGGCACTGTGCTCCTTGCTTTTGCTCATATTTAGCATCCATAAGGGAAAACCCTTACTTTGGCTCACAATGCTGAGGTGCACAGGGCAGAACAGGCCCGGGGTGTGCTGTGTCACTTGTCTACCATGCCTTCTGTGTTTTGTACATCTTGTGTTGTGTGTGCCTCGCCTTAGCTCTTCCAGGGGCTTACAGGAAACCATGGTGTCACTCTTGGCATCTCTGATCTCTGCGTTCCTCGGCCCAGTGCTGAGGCCATGGAAGCTTTGGCTCAGGAGCTCAGAGGGGCCTTGGAATCACATCTCTCTTTAGATGCATCCAATCAGATGTCTTTTAAGGTCTTGTTCTGAGCTGTATCGATAGTCGTGCACCACAAGGATCCATTGTTGCGGATTAGTACAAATGCAAGGATAGGTGGAGGATTGTGGCCATAAGATTCTCGGGCATCCATCTTGGTGGTTCTTGGACTAAGTTGTTCTGTTAGCATCTTCTTCCTCCCAGGTTCTGCAAGCCTTGTGGGCTCGCCGTCTTTCTCACCTGGGTCATCTGGTTCAGCATTCTCTCGGTCCTTGTGGCCATTCTTCTGGCCGAGAGTTTTGTCTCCCTGTTGTGTCCCTGTGTCTATTGTCTTGTGTGTCATGGGTGTCTGGGTGTATTTGGCACAGAGCTGCTCTGCCCTGCTGCCTAGTCTGGGTGTAGGTGTAAAAGGACAAGTCCCAGGCACCTGTAATTTGAAATTTGGAATGTAGGGTGTAGTTGGAGTGTGGATGGTATTCCTAGATTGACACAAGATGTCTGGAGCTGTGAAATTATCCTGCAGCACTTTGACTTCTGTCTTAGCTTGCTTTCAGATGTGGGCAGAATGAATCCATGGCAGGGCAGAGCACCTCATCCAGGTGAGGGGGTTCCCCTGAGATTGTCAGTCACTATTTGTGACTGCTGCTCATCGCTGGTTTTGTTTTGGGTTTTTTTTCCCCAGTTTTTGTTTGTTTTGGTGTGGGTTTTTTGTTCTTTTTTTTTCTTTTGCCTCATACATGTTCTTATTCTCTGTGGTGCTCCCCATGCCAGTGTTTCCCACTAGATTCTTGTGTCCTCTTCCCTGTCACTGTTCTTTTAATCTCTTTCTGTCTTGCTGCCCATCCCAGGATTTTTGTTTGGTTGTTTTGGTTTTCCCCTGGGGTTTTTTTGGGGTTTCTTTTTGGGTTTCTTTTTTGCCTCACTCATGTTCTTTCTTTATTTCTGGTGGCCATATCATGCTCCCAGTTCCACTGTTTCCCCCTGAATCCTCATGTCCTGTTCCCTGTCCTTGTTCGGTTTTGCTCCTCTGTTGTGCTGCTCGTCCTTTTTTCTTTTTTTTTTCCAATTTCATCCTGCACCCCATTCTTCCTGTGTCCTCTCTTTCTGCCTCTGGCCTGTGACTGGGGGTTCTGGGGAGGAATTTCTGGGACCTGCCCCCCTTTCTTGTTGCAGCAGAGCTCCTTTTTGTGGGGATCTACACCTGGAAAGGGTTCCAATAAAGCAAGGTGCTGCTGTTCAGGGCAGTTTGAGTTGTTCTGTGCCTTCTTTGGGGGTGAGGAGCAAAGGCTGAGGGGGATGGGGTGGACACTGAGGGGCTCTGATGTCACTTGGGGCACGCCAAGGTCCCTGGGAGAGCACACGCTGCACTGGAGGAGCAAGGTGAGTGGGGAATGGGGAGGGCTCGTGCTGGGTACCCTTCCTCAGAGGGACCCTGAGCTGCCAGGAAATTCACAGGGAGGGCTGGGTGCAGAATACAAAAAGCTGTGAAGTTTTTTGTTTTTATTGGTATTGGCAAAGAGTGGGTATTTATTTCTAAATCCCTTTGTAAGGAAAACCTCTCTGTCACCTCTGTTGTATACAGGAATGAAGGGAGCTCTGACTGGAGATGGGTAGTAGTTTTGAAAATAATGCCATAAAGTTTTGTTCTGGAGTGTCTTTATGATGCTTGTATCCCTAATTGTTTGTTCTGTTTATGCTGGGTATTAAGTTCAGCACCTTTGAGACAAATTCCCAGAGTGAAGAAGAGGGAAAAAGCAGCATGCAGTTTGTTTTCAAAAACAACATTCACTGCCCCACATCCTTCTCCAAACTCTGTTGTCTGCAGCACAGACAGCAGGACAGAGCTCTCCCTTACTTTTAGTTAGTTTTTTAGCTCGCTGTAGCAAAAACATTTCCCAGATTCAGACAAACACCAGGAGCTCATGCCTATGGTCCACCGAGGCCGAGGGACTGATAAAAGACATGCTACCCCACAGCAAAAACTTTCTAGATTTATCATATCTTTGAACAGCAAAAAGTTTTATTGTTTAATATTATCTTTTTTTATCCTTGTGACTACTTTGCATGTTAAATAAATGTTTTTATTCCACTTTTCTCAAAAAAATCATTTCCCAAACCAGTTAAGAAAGAACCTGCTTAATGTTTACTTTCTAAAAAGACCCCATCTAAAAATTTTCTCCCAAATTTACCCTAAACCAAAACAAATACATTACTTGGTGCCCAATGTGGGGTTCAAAACAGTAAAAAAACCCTCTACCGATTACATTCTATTGGTACTTACTGTGTGTTGGTATAAAGGACTCAGTAACTGTGTTACTTAAGTTCAAGAAGAGCAAAAAAAAACCACACTTAGACTCTTTTTACTAATAATTATCACATCATAATCAAAAATAAACCCTATATAAAACCCAACACAACAAAATTACTAAAAGAAAATAAACCAACTAACTAAACTCAAAACTATTCAATGAACCTTAAACACTGCTTTTTTTTAGTAACCAAATCTCTACCTACTAATTAATAAACAATAATCAATACTCTATAAAAATAACTAAAAGAAACCTGATTAACAATAAAAAAAATTAAATACTAAACAATAAAAAAATCACTACCAAAACAAACTACCTATAGAAATCCATCATATAAATATTTATATCCCAAAAATAAAACTAATAGAAACCACCAAAACAATAAACAGGTACATCCAACTACAAAAATAATAAATAAATACATGAAAAATAAACATCAATTAACCACACAAAACCAAATTATTCTTAACCTAATAAACTCATAATACCTCAAATGATCAAAATAAAAATACCAGTTATAAGTAAACACAAAACCAAAAAATAAATTTAACCATAAACAATATTTCTCATGTTATCCATAATTATAACATATACTACAATTAAACCCTTATAAGAAACACAAAAATCCAAATAGAAATATAAACAAACTGAACAAATTGACTACATTACCCCAAACACACCAAAATAAAGACTACATACAGTAATAAAAACTCACTAAATAAATAACAGCCTTATCAACAACTGAACTAAAAAACATAATATTCAATAAATATCCATATCCCCTACCATGCACCAAGTACAAATTAAAAAATACAATAAACTATTAAAAACACCTTAAAAACATAAAATAAAAAATCTTTCAAAAATTAAGAACATCTAACAAAATCCACCTAATTAATTAAAACCCAAAACTCCACCAACCAAACCCTACCCAATCTCAACCCTGACATACCATAAACAAAAACAAAATCCCTGTAACAAATATAAAAAATGTATTAAAAAAACAATTAAAATTAATTCTACTTCAAATAGAAACAACCCATTCATAAAATTATCTTTACTCAAAAACCAAATTACACATAATAAATAATACAAAAAATAATATATAACTCAAAAAATATAATAATTAAATAAAAAACATATATAAACATCACTATTTACTAAATATCACTACCCTTATCTATATATATGTATATAAAATTAAAATATATAAATTTTAATAATAAACTAACCATATAAAAATAAAAAAATATTCTAAAATAACTTTTTAATACTTCTATCACAAATCATCTATGCTAGTTAATCTAAATATTAAATTCTCCACCTTTAAAACTAATTTCCAAAACAAACAGAAAACCCCACACAAAAACAACACTCACTCCCTCACATCCTTCTCCAAACTATATTAATCTACAATAACTAACAACAAAACAAAACTCTCCCTTAATTTGAATTAATTTTTAACAAACTAAAACAAAAAAAATCCCCAAACTAGGCATTTTTTTCCTTTTATAAATATATATATACTTCTAAAAGATAATAAAATAATAATATATATGTTCTTGTAATATGCTTTAATCTATATTACACAGAATACAAGAATATATATAAAATAGAAGATATAAGTAAAAACTATAAGTTTTAAAAAATTATTTAAATATAGTTTAAAATAAAGGCTTGTTTTTTATTTGGGTAGAGGCAGGGCTTTTAGATAAAATTTACAATAAATTGTAAATTTAAATACGTTAAATTTATTATTTTAAATTTATTATATTTATTTTTATATTTTTATTTATATATTTAAAAATTATTATTTTTTGTAAATTAAATTTACAGTTTAAATAAAATTTACAATATACATATATATTAAATATGTAAAGATACATATATATATACACACAAAGAAATAAATATACATGTTATAAATAGGTACAAATAGATTTATATTTAATATATAATATGAATAATATATGTATAGTTGTTAATAGAAATATATTTTCATATATGTTGCGTGTTACACCTATTTCAATATAGTATATAAATGGGAATATAAATTTGATAAAAACAGAAATTAAAAAATATTTCATTAACCATTTAAGGTGAAGGGGCTTTCTGTTTTTTATTTGGTTAGAGACAGAACTTTTAAATGAATAACATAGAAATGAAAATATACGAATCTGTAATAAAGATATAAATATAGGGAGATTATATATATACACATATATATAAAAGAAATAAATAAAAGTAATATAAATATATACAAATAGGTTAATATTCAATATGAAAAATATATGTATAGATGTTAATGTATTTTAATACAGTGTGTGTTATATATGT